TACAATTACTTTTAGTAATAGAGTCATTTATAGGTTCCAAAATTTAGAGAGAACCATCCAAAGGACATTCATGCATGATCAAAATAGTTAGGATCTGTAACTGGCTCTTTTATGTCACTAGGGCTAACTTATCCAAATATGTAAACTTATATCTTCAAATAACTGTAGACAAAAAGTAAAATTCTAAGATAATACCTTTCTTTTAATGAAAAGTCCATTAAAAGTTTTTTTTTAATCAGTTAAGTACTTTATCTCAAGATTTTGCTGCCCAAATCATGTTTTTTTCCAAAAAACTTTTTAACTTAAATTACAGTTGGCATACAATATTATATTAGTTTTAGGTATACAACATTGTGATTAGACATTTATATAACTTCCAAAGTGGTAAGTCTAGTACCTACTGGACTGCCCAAATCATCTTAAACAGGCTATGGACTGGCATTAATACACCATCTGGGGCAATGGGTGGCTTTTTAGGTTAAAGGTGGCCCTCTGCAGGGATAAGTTAACTGTCTAATGCAGCCCCTGGTATTGTCCCAGCTGTGAAGCAGATGGTGTGATGAGCAGAGGGTAGCTATAGGGGGCCTGCCCTGTGGTTTCATCTGTTCACAGGCTACAATACACTCTCTCTGCTGGGGACTCAAGAGCATTTCCTTCCATCTCTGCCTCCCTAACCCTCAATAGAGATCTGAAATGTGAACTATTGAGGGATTTTTTTGTGTAGCAAAAGATAATAGAATGACTTCTACACATAGTTGAAAAAAATTTGAGTTTAGGGAGAGGGCTGGGTTAGGAGTCCCCTGAAGAATAGGTGTTGCAATGTATTTGAATGGTGGGCCATCTGCTAAGCTATGGGAACCTGCTGGGTACAGCTGGCTGCCTGACACATAAGGGTGTCACTGATTAATGTATCACATGAAATATGTTAACACCATAGTTGTAGGAAGTGGTGCCCAGTGTGGTATGAAGCTAAAATTAAAAACATAGATCTGCAACTTGTTTGTTCTACGTAGTGTGACCTAATATGAAATTTAAAGTGTATCATATTTGGGAGTATAAGTAATAAGCTTCCTACTCACTTATTACTAAGTAAAGCTATAAAATATGTGACTTTTTCTTTTATACCATGAGGATCCAATGACATTAACCTTTCAAAACATAAACTATCCTCTTCTATAAAATATAAAGATCAGATTATCTCTTTAGTAAAAGATTCTTCCACCCTTAACCCAGAATTTTGTATAGTATTAGTTACCAGGATTCAGTATTCTATTTCATGAATGAAATATATATCCCAAGTGCATTACATTGTCTTGAATTCCTCTGAATGACGTTTCTGTCTTACAAAAGTTCTTATTCATATATTTGAGGGGAGTAGGTGTAGAACCATTTGCAGCCATTATATAGCTTTTTGAAGTATGTTATGCGTTATCTAAGTGATCTGTCTACTACTCTTACGTCTTTCAGACAGGCTGGTAAATCTCTAGTAGCACTCTCTATCTTGAAATGCAGTTGATGGAAACTGAAGGAAACATTTTACAATTACTGGGGGAAATGTTATAATTGGATTATGATTTTTCTTTCCAAAGGGAAAATAGCATTTAGACATAGAAAATAGGCTGGGAAGTACAAACTGAGCTTAGGTGCAACTGGATCTGTAATGCATTGGCCATTCTTGGTAATTCTCAGTCAAAGTAGTAAATTTCTTCTCCATGAAGGAAGTTGTATGAAAACAGAGCAGTTTTCTGTATTTTCCTTTCTCGGATCGCTCCAGTTCTCATAGGAATTATACTGGTAAACTGTGATAATGTGCTAATAGTTCTAGAAACCAGAAGCATCATAGGTACTATTGCTGGTTTGTGAACATTTATCTCAAAACTGAAGCCAGAGCCTTGGGCTTTCTTTCTCCCTCCAGCAAAGGGCACAGAAACCAGGATGAGACTTCTGGAGTTCGGCAAGTAGAGAAAGGTATTTTGCCCGTTTATTCAAATGCTCTGTGGGCCCCAATCTGGTCAGTCTGAGCCTCAGGACACAATTGGTTTGGCTTTTCAGGGAGCAGCAATTGGGATGGAAAGAGAGCAGGGAAAAGGAGAGGGAGGGAGGCTTGGGTCAAGCAGCTGCTGTCCATGGGCAAAGCCCATCCTGATTCTGGACAGGAGGAAAGGGGAGTTACTGCAGTCAGGCCAGAGGGGAGGAGCTATTCACACAAAATTTACAGAATGAAGGTTGGCACATTAGCAATATCCTGTGTAAGTTAAAACCCAAACTCCCAAACTTAAAGACCTGTTCCTCTTCAGAAAGTGCTACAATCTGCCAGCAAACCACTGGGCTTCCTCTTGCAGCATCAGCCTATGAGAACAGTCAACATTCGAGATAATTATCCTGCATAAGAAGTAAACACTATTTTAAGGATTCGTTAGCTGCTCCTTTGTTAGGTGATGTGATTCTACAGAAATTCGTGTTCACCTGATGAAATTCAAGGATTATTAAAATGAGATAAAATAAAAATACTTGTAAAAAAATTAAGTTTAAGATGCTGCATGCATCTTACTAAGGAAAACTGAAGTCTGAGCTGTGTTCAAAGGAGGTATCTTTTCCAAAAGCAAGGGGAGATATAAAAACAAATTTGAGCTGTGGCTCACAGCCAATTTTATATCACTTGGATTGAGAACAAATTGTGCCTCAACATCTATCGTTAGAAAAGAACATATCCTGCTCGAATGGAGGAGCGGGTAAAAGTGATTTATGAGGTGTTTTTGAAAAAAGCCATGCCTTCTGGAAAACAAATGGGAGACAATGAAATAGCTGTAAATGGTGACTATTAAAATTCAGGAACCAGAGAGATACAAATGGAAACAGGAGTGTATGATGAATAGGTGAGGTAAATGAGGGCTGATACTCATGTCAGGCTCTTTGTATTCTAATGACCATAACCAATTAAGTCTCCACTCTTATTTCCCAGCATATATAAATTGTAGCTACCAGTGACCTAAATTTGAAGTTATTTTGTCTTTGATGTGTTCAATATATTTTTAAAAAACAGTAAAATCTCAAAGGAAAATTACCCCCTAAAAGAAGGTCTCTTAGCCACCAAGAACCTTCAAGTTTAGACACATTGGGTCATCTGAATTGATGTTTAAGGACATGGTAATTTTTATTCATCTGGAAGCTGGATTATAAAATCAAGGAGGTGCTCTCTAGGAGTGCTAACTTCTGGGATAACACAAGAGGTGTGTCTGTGATATTGCATCAGGTGTTGAACGTAGGAAATGCAGAGCCCGTCCCTGTTTTCTGAGTTGGGCCCCAGTGACACATTCCCTGGGCAGAGTGGACATGTATGTGATCCTTCATCACTTCCTTCATCTTCTCCTAGCAGCCTCCTCCCCTGCTACCACCAGTCCACGTGGCCATGGCTGCAGCATATTTTAACATGACATTAAAAGCAGCAAAGAAGGAGCTGGCATCAGCAGGGGATGGGGAACAGGCTGCTCTTTGCCACAGGCTATCTCCCTACTCTTGACCTGCCTTTGGCATGGCTCCTTCTGGAGAAGAAAGGCTGGTAGGAGCAGCAGGTAGCTCTGGGTCTTCTGATAGGGGCACCTGTAATTTCCATAGATTGAGCACCTGAATTAATCTGAACTATAATCATATTATTTATAAGTTATAGAACACATACTTAACGTGAGCAGGGGTTTAAGTTTTTTTTTCCTTAAGTATCTTTCTATGGCTTTAAGAGGTCTCTACATTTCCCCACGCCCACTAAAAAGGGACTGCTGAGCTCAAGTACTACTGAAACCAGGGAACAAACGTAACTAGCTATCAGCTGACCAACAATATACTGTCATACCCAAGGTACAGCATTTCTGGATTAAAAAACAACAACAAAATGCAAAATTGTTTAGCCAAGAAAAATGAGTATTTCTTTCTCATTATGGAAAAAAGTGCTAGACTTCAAATGTGACAAATGCATGAACTGACCTAGCCATTAATTTTTCTTAAATGATGAAGGAAATTTTACAGATTAAACTTAGTTTTTTATTGGCATGTCTTTTATGTTTGGAATTTTCATAAATAAGTGAAATTTGTTTTATATTTATAAATGCATTTTTATTAAAGTTTTCAAAAGTCCCTAATACAAATGGTATTACACTTATTAGATTTTCTACAAATATAATAAGTGTAATAAAAGTAATATGTAATAGTTTATCTCTGTGCTTAAGTACTACAAAATAAAAACAGTGACAGAGTGATTCAATTAATCAAGAGAAATAAGTTTGGTAATCTTTAAGGACATACAATAGAAGATATTTACCTACCACTTTCAATCCAAGTGTGTAAGGGAAAATGTGAACTTACTTAAAGCTTTAATTTTCAAAAATGAAAATATAGCAAATGTGGAATAAAACCAAATAAAAATTAAAGATTTTTGCATATCAAAATCAGGAATTCCACAGTCTCTGGTCACAGAAATCAAAAATCAACCTTTCTATTACACTAATGTTTGAACCTATATATTTTTTGAAGTATATTAGGGGATATCCCACATAATATTTATTTATAGAGCCTCAAACAATTCACTGATGACAATTATCAACAGTACTGGTATATCTTAGAATTCAATGTCTTTGCACGGAGAAGGAAATTTTTATAATAGTTTATTATGCCACTGAATGCCACTAAATCAGGATACTTTATTAAGTTTATATACATGAAAGAGAAGTTAATGAGAAGAAAGGATCCTGCCTTTTATGTTCAGTAGGTTATGCTGCATACTAAGAACTTTTTCTTAAAATTCCATATTATCAATGAAAATAATGCCTACACTGGATATGTGTTGACAGGGTCCATAGAGATGTATCAGCCATTTGAAATTTAGTTTTGAAAAGCTTTATTAAGCTCACCTACACTTCGCCTCACCAGGGATAATTAATGTGTGAGCTGGTAAACTCTATACTCACCCACTTGCCATTTTTACTGGGCCTTTCTTCTGATATAGCATGCTGTTTTTTGTTAAGAACAATGTTCTCTCTGGAAATAATACATAAAAAGCAGTCAGAAATTATTAGCCACAGGGGAGTACTAGATTACAGATAAGAAACCTTAGTGTAAAGCCTCCCATGGGGACTGAACTCCCGGGAGACACCACCACCTGTGCCGTCTTTATTTCCTTCTGTCTCTTCCTGCACATTGTTTTGCTTCCAGTAGGAAAGTCCTGCTTTGCCTCCTCTGGTATATGGTTGGGAAGAAAAGTCCAGCAAGTTTCAAGTTCAATGAGAAAACTTTCAAATAGTTGTGAATGTGGGTCCCATACATTGTCCTACCCCCATATTTTACCAATGCAATTCTTGAAAGGAGCTATAGAAAGAGGGATCCAATGATGACTGAAAAAACTCAAGCTAGACTACAAAGAATTTCATGGAGGCAAGATTGGTTATACAATGGAACCAGGTGTTGAACAAGGTCATGAGGTAGGTATCTAATATAAAGCCTTTTTTTAAAAAATAACTTTTGTTAAAAAATACGAGTCTGTTTTATGTAGCAATTTGACTACAGGCAGAACACTGGATAATGAGCTATCAGATCAAAAACATTTTCTACAGGGCCTACAATTATGTAAGAAATATCTCTGCTCTCTCTTTTTCAAAGAGCCAATAAAGCATGCCTGTGTTCAGAAGAGACATTCTAAGCATTTAGACCCTGACGTTCGTACATTTTTTAGCCCAGCTGACTGCTGGAATGAATGGAAGGAACAATGGATTTCTCAGACTGTTTTCTAAACATAGTAGATTTTAAAAGGCCCTGTTCCCCATGGGCAAGAATATCTTGCATTCCTCAGACTTAAATTTATTCCAATCTTTTTTCTATCCCTCTAATTCTTTCATTTGCAAAAGGCTTATTCCGTTATACACCATATGGTATGAAATAAATGGATGAATAATGAAGTGAAGATAACTAATAATTACACCATGTGACATCTGTAGTAGAAATCATAGAGGTCACGGATTTCAAATCCCCTGCAGTATAAATATTCCTTCTTTCTACTCTGTGTTCTAGCCTAAAGTTAACATTGTGGAGCTAAATTGATACTTGAATCACCACTGGTGACATTTCTTAAAAAGAAATGCCAAACTTTTAAGATTTCAAGGGACAGAATAACCAAGGGAGAATCAGAACTGAAACTGAGGTAGAAAGAACCCTCTGTCACTAAGAGATTGACACTTTCATTCATCTAATAATTTCAGTCAGAAAAGCCTTCCATTATATACTGCCTTAGTCATTTCAGTCATCCCTGCTCCGGGATTGAACACAGAGTTCCTCCTACTCTTTTCTGCACACTCCTATCCATAAATTACTAATTTTATTTCTGGAGTCCTTCCAATTACCCATAGTCTGCTCTATAAAAGAATTCAAGGGGAGAACTGTTCCCAAAGAACTATCTAGTTCTCACCTATTGCCTTCAGGTAAGTAAATATTGAAACCAGCCATCTAAATATTCACATCTTGATTTCCTCCATACTAATAAGATTTACACCGGGGGAACCATATTAAGTTTGTTCAATGATAAGACCTGATGTTTAAAACTGTCCTACCATAACATGCTATGTTCCAACATAATCAGCCTGTGGTACTGAGACACTCTAGAGGCCTCAACCCAGTTAGGGCCTCTATATAAACTTTTAAGATTTGGCAAGTAGGGGCAGAAATCTACTCATCTTTCAACCTCCCAAGAGGTTGAAGTAAGTTCCATACTATGCACACTTTAATCAGTCTTGTTGCTGTACCCTATGTGGTCTCAAGTTTCTCTACATTCTCTTTTACCAAATGGGATAAACTACTTTATTAAGAGTCTGACCAATTCAGAAGATAATGAAAGATTTATTCATGGCTGTTCAGACATTACATTTATGCCATATGTCTCTGCCTTTAATTATATTTTAAACAACAGCACTGTGATTGCCAATGAGAAGACTGAAGAATATCACATCTGACCCCCTTATTTCTCCTAACCTATAAATAGATTAACTACTGGTCAACAGCTTACGCAAGTCCAGTTTTAAGAGGTTTGGATCAGTTATGCAATCACGGTAGCAAACACTTTAAGTGTCCTGTCCACAGTCCCTGCCCTCGCCATGTTACCCTAGTGTGATTTCCTACTGCCAGCCGGGAACAAGAACTGCTGCCAGAACCAGCAAGATGAAACTTTCCTATCATCACTGTGATGGTCAGCAGGTGGGAAAATGGACACTCCCTGAGAGCAGCCCCCAGGCGCTCCCTCACTCCTGAGAGAGAGCTAACCTGGCTCCCCAGTTCCTCAGTGGGATTAAGCTCAGCCATCCCCATTCATAGATAGCACACCCATTATTGGCTGCCTTCCCTTCTTTTATTGATTGATCGATTTATTTTTATTGTTGAAAGTATTACAGATGTTCCCTTTTCCCCCCACTGACCCCCTCCACCCCATACCTACCCCCTCTTTATCTCATTGCTTCACTCTCTCTTTGGTGCTCTTTTCACCTCTCAAATCAATCAACTACCTGCACTTGAGTCACTGTCTACTACTGGGGAACTCAAATACCTAGAAGTTGGCTGAACCTCCAAATTTCTGATCAATATAATAGATTATTAGGATGCATTTTGTTAATAAATCTCATTTGATTATACTTCGATAATATACAATTGTGTGTTATAACAACGATTAATTGTTATTTCTATCACTTAATGTTTTCAAATATAGATTACAATAATTCAGTGTTCTTTCTTTCACTTATATTTTACTCTATAGATGAATTTGTAAATTAGTAAAATATCAACAAGTAAAGTGAAACTTTACTCTCAGTAGATAGCTGTCACTAAGCTGTTAAAACAATAAGAAGAAAAACATAACTACTTTTTTAAAAAGTGAGGTGAGGCAGACATAGAAGAGACTGAAGCCCATTTAAAGACTGGCATCCTTTAAGTTGCTAATTACCTCTAATAGCAGCTAAATGGACTAACTTACCTTTGCCTGTGTCCTACTAATGCCTAAAATCTCTAGAATTGGAAAGTGCTGACGGTTCTCTGAACTCTAAACTTTCTTAAGTGGACCCAGGAAATATTTCAGGCACTACACTTCTCAGGCAAGAAAGGATCTAAGAAAAGACACTTTATTCAGGCCCCCATGGGATAGACAGTTAATGTATTTTGGCTGCCCTGCTCCTTGGAACATCCTTCCTATGTTGAGAAATTCTCCATCTTTTGATCTCTCCTTGACAGAGGCCAGAAATTCTTTCCCACCGCCCATGTGATAGAGGCCACCCCATTCAGACACATGCAACACTTCAGTTCAGAAGCTGGTGAGTTACCTAAGCCAGCACTACACAGACTCATTCTAGGGAAAGTGACTGCAAAGACATGAGTTTCCAGAGGCAGCGGGGCCAAGGTTTAGTGACAGGTTACAGATTGTTTTGGGGTAGCAGTGAGCTGTGGTATGCCCCTACCTGGTGACTCCACAGGACCATCCTGGGCTAGGATGTGCACATTGCCAGGGGCTGTATAACCTTCAAAGCTGATTGGTTCTCCAGAAGAGTGCTACCAAAATCATCTTCTACATTTCTTTTCTGCTTAAATTAACTAGAGTTTGCAATTTTGTAGCTTGCAACTAAGAGCTAACTCATGCACCCTTTAGATGTAAGCTACAAGGTAGGAAATTTTAAAATGAATGGGTTCTTGCCCTCAGGGAGCACAGTGGAGAGAAATAAGTGATCACAGTATACAGTAGACTCTGAGAGAGTAGAAGGATGTTGTAGGTAAGAGCAAGCCCTCTGAAGTCATACTGCCTGGGGTTCATATCCTGGCCCCACCAGTATTAACTTTGCTTCCTTGGAAAAGTTAGTTACTTAACCTTCTGTGCCTCAGTGTTTTTATCTGTAAAATGGGGATAATAATATGACTACCCTATAGGGTTTTATGCTGGAGAGTCTTAAATCCATTCTCTCCTTTCTGGTACATGCTGGTCAACTAAAGATTAGATTTCCAACCTCCCTTAACTCAGTGCATCTATGTGATTAAGTGCTAACCAGTGGAATGAGAGCAGAAGCAATGTGTACGACACCGCATTTACTTGGCTAAAAGGAAATTCTTTATCCTACATATACCCTACATACACTTTCATCGTTTTCCTTCCAGTGGTTTGAAAGTGGTGGTTTGAAAGTGGTGACTACAGGTGATGAATTATGATGGTGAAGCTGAATGTTGAGGATGACAGAGCCATTCTGCTGACCTGGATTCAGGACAACTCTGTGGAGCAGAACCACCCATCTGACACCATTGCACTGTGGCAGGAGAAATCAGCGTCTGTATTGGTCAAGGTGCAGGTTGTGCAATGGACCCATGGCGACACTCAAAGTGTCAGAACTAGGATTTAAACCCAGGTCTCTCTGACAAGAGTTTCAAAATGCAAATATCTTTGTTACTTAAATGAGTCTCACATTTATATAAAAATAATGAGGCCCTAATCAATAGTATCATCCCTGCCTGGCCGGGCATGGCTCAGTGGTTGAGCGTCGACCTAGGATCCAGGAGATCGGGGTTCGATTCCCAGTCAGGGCACAAGCCCGGGTTGTGGGCTCGATCCCCAGTCGAGGGCATGCAGGAGGCAGCCGATGAATGACTCTCTCATCATTGATGTTTCTCTCTCTCTCCCCCTCTCCTTTCCTCTCTCTGAAATCAATAAAGATATAAATATTTTTTTAAATAGTAACATCTCTGAGAATTTACATTTATTAGACTCCCTGAAGGTCAGGAGGGACCCTTCCTACCCTGGTGGTATTGTCTCTAAAGCTGGGGCTCAGGGAGCCTAAGCCTCACTAACAAGGCTGCCTGTGAAGTCTACTTGGGGAGGAAGAAAGTGAGGGCAGAAGGATCAAGGGGCTTTGGGCCCAGGGACGGGCTGTCCATCCCCCTAGGGATATAAAGAACAGGTGAGGCACAGTGAGAATTGGTCAAGGTAGAAGGGTGAGAAGTAGCAGCCCCAATAAGGAATTTCAGACGTAGCACAAAGACTCTCTTAACCTTTACCTCAATGGTATGCACATAGTTACTTTTTCCTTCCATTTTAATAGTCAGTGAGACTTCCATATCTCCTCCTGGGGGAGGTCAATTCTTTTATGTTAACAGCTCATATCATTTCACTATATTCTGTTTGCAGAGGACTTAGTCATTTAATGGTTCGTTTGCTCAGACTAACTAATATCTATACAGGAAGCTTCTCCAGGTTTGGTTGCATAGGGGTCTAAGGTGACTTGATGGACAGCTCAGCTCCACAGCAGTAGTAGGGAACCTCTAGGGTTGCAAGGGAAGGGAAGGGGATCTAGGGTTTAGTGAGCACCCACTATACATTTGACATTTTAAGCATATAATTTTTTTCACATCTACTAACTCATGACATTTCATCATCCCAAGTTTTAGAGATGAGAAACCTGAAGTTTAAAGAGGTTACATAACTTACCCAAGATTACAAATTTAGTAAGTGGAGGAACTGGTGTTCAAGCTCAACCCCCGCTGGCGCCGAAGTCTATGCCCTCAACTCGGCACTCTGTGCACAGGCCCGTGAGGATGCTCCCATTCAGACTGAACTGAATTTCCTCTATAACATGGGGATGGTAAAGGTCCTGACCTCACATAACTGGATAAAATGAAATAACGTGCACACCTAGCACAGTTCCTCGCAAGAGCAGATGTTGAATGTGCTTAAAAACACACACATGTTCTGTATGTAACCACGAAATGAACAGTTTTAATGGCCTTTCACTCTGCATTGAGGCCAGAGATCTATGGAACTGATTTGTCAGCTTGGTCAACCTCTCTGAGTTGTGAGTGGGCAATTGGGCTAATTGTTCCATTTTGGTCATAAGTGAAGAATTATCATATTAAGACAAAAAAAAATAATAATGTGGCAATTGGCTTTTCTTCATTGTTCCAGAAGGTAAATGAAAGTGAGTGAGTGGATGTGACAGAAAGGCAGACTCCAACAATATTTAAAGAGATAACTCCAGTTGTCAGATGTCTCCTAAAAAAGGAAGGGTCACTGAACATGTCCAGGCTGACTGGGAGCCCACCTGCCAAGGGTGGTACATGACAGCATCCTGCACTGGGAGAGGCACTAAACTACAATGTTCTGATCCAGTCTCTTGGCCAAGTTTCTGTGGCTTTTTTTGTAGGTTGGGGAGAAGAGTTCTATTTCCTTCATGGGTAATTTCAGGACATCCCAACCTTGAAATGTATGTGAATTATGCTTGATGAAGACTGTTTTCTTCTGCAAAAGCCACATTCCCATTCGTCATTCCCTGCACCTTTGGAGGGAGGAACCGTGTTGAGCATCTGCTCCCGGATCTCTGTCCTGTCCTCCAGCTACGAAGAACACCCCCGTTCCTGTGGGGGCGGGAGGCTTGGCTCTGCTTTTAGAAATTCCCTTCTGTGCTGCACTAATCACACCCTCGGTACATTTTACATCTTATTTTTAGGAGCAAAGTATAAAGAGTCCTAGAACCGACAGCAGTTTCTGTGGCAACCTGTATCACCCCCTTTCTTGTCCAGCTGTGCAGAATTAAATTCTAAGCGGCCATTTTACATCACGTAAAGAAGATCCACAGTGAAGGTGCTTTTTAAATGAAGGTTTTCTTCTAAGTTAAGTGGGAACCAGTGGGAATTAGGTTGGGGGTGGTGAATCAAAGAAATAGAACCTTTCCTTAGAGCTAGAACTATTATAAAGTCCCAGGTGTCCACAGGCATGCCCTAGTTGCCCTGATTTTTTTCCCCACAGGGCATGATTTTAGATGCAAAAATAGCATTCAGACCAATGAAAACTAGGTTTGAATATTTATATCAGAGGAGTTTGTTGATAAATTCCTCCTCCACCTCCTCCCCTCACAGGCTCTTCCTGAATAACCTTCCAAGCTAGAATAGATTATAAATTGGCATGCTTTTCACATTCATCTTGAATCGCTCTCTTAAGGCAACTACCCCAGCTGCTGGCAGGCTTTCACCGAATTCTCTCTTCCTGACACAGTCAAAACAGGCAGTCCCCTTGTGCCAGGCCAAAGGGTGGGCTTGTAAAAGGAAAGTGTGATTTGGGGGACACTGAAAGACCACCAGTCCAGAATATTCTCCTCCAAAGCCATGTCATGTCCCAGGTTATCATAACCACTGCCTTGTGTTAAGTCATTTGCTTCCACAGGCTTCTGGGAAGAATGACATTTTATAATCAAATTTACATTTTATATTCTGCTAACTTCTAGGAAAACATGAGGTGGCCTATAATAAAATAAAATAAAAATACATTTCACCTAAGATTATTAGTATAGAGGCCACAGAAAAGAATAAATAAAATATGCCCCAAACCTAAACTGTGCTTCCATATTAACTGAGCTCCAAGTTTCCTGAGGCCAGTCAAATGAAACTTTTCTTATGATTCATTATATGATTATTACCTGTTAAAAGAAATGACACCAGTTTTTCGTACTGATACTAAATTCTTAAAAGTGACCCTTATGTGTAGGAAACAGCAGAATGAACTTATTTTTCAACAGTCATTTAGGGAAAGATGCAAAATCATTTTCCACATGGCCATTTATTATATCAACCTCTGATGAAGTCTAAGGTTATAGCCTCAAAATAAAACTCAGTGAAGCCACCAAGGTAATGCTTTAAAACATTTTACAGCCTGGCCGGGCGTGGCTCAGCAGTTGAGCGTCAACCTAAGATCCAGGAGACTGGGGTTCAATTCCCGGTCAGGGCACATGCCCGGGTTGCAGGCTCGATCCCCAGCTGGGGGCGTGCAGGAGGCAGCCGATCAATGACTCTGTCATCATTGATGTTTCTATCTCTCTCTCTCCCTCTCCTTTCCTCTCTCTGAAATCAATAAAGATATATTTTAAAAAAACAACAACAAACATTTAACAGGTAAAAGGCATTAGCTCAATATGTGTGAGCAGATTAGCTCCAGAAAGGTCTAGAAAAGAAGGGCTCTAAGGGAATGTAACATAAAGAGCTAGATTTTGATAGGAACGAGTTGCAAAGAAAGCTGACCCCGGGGTCAACTGAGCTGTATGGGGTTGAGGCTGGCAATGATCATATTAAAGAAGGGGGAAGGGTAACTAGGAAAAGAGGAGGAGATGGAAAGAAGAAGTGAGAGGGTCAAAGAAACTATACTGCCTTGGTAATTTTGCCCATGGCCATCCTTAGAGCATGCAACACTTTGATGACAAAGTTTAACAGTTGACAGAGAGGGACAACCATCCTAATTTAAATGACTATCATTCGGTTCTATTATGCATAAAAAAATTTGTTGTGGGCAAGATATGACTCTGAAAATGGTAAATGAAACCGTTTTCTCAAAACTGCTGAGGCAGGAAAACTGTCCCAAAGCTTCTTCATTAACTTTCCTTCCTTTCATTGGAAGTTTGAAAGTAGAGTTTTGGGGGATTTTTGTCTGTTTCAGAAGGTCGTTCAAAATCCAGAAACAAATAAATGAAAACTCTCCAAAACATTGGAAAAGTGAGCTCAAGTGACTTCCATACTGCAATGTTGTGATTTTTCATTAGTATATTACTCAAGCAGTATTTGTTGGGAACAAGAAAATATTAGAACTGGTTTCAAAAAAGTAGCATAAATTAAATACTGAAGTCAAGGGACACAGAGTTGATTTTTAAAACTCAGACTAAATTTTCCCTCTACCTCTAAATTTTGATAACGCAAAAATACCAGCAAAACAGGTTTAGCTTATAAAAGATTTAGCATGAGACCCTGATTTTCTCCCCCCTTGCTTTCAAAGACAGCTGATTCTAGGAGCAGACATGGGCCCATGGTTTTTAGGGTCCACTCCAACCTAAGTATTGTAATAACTGTAGATCTAAATGCCATGACCAATAGTTGATACACTGTTATACATATTTGTGCAATAAGGGAAAGTGGTGGGGGGAGAATGGAGGGAGTTTTATCCTTGAACTTTTGTCTATTAGATGTAAATTAATCAACATCAGTGGACACATTTTATCCACCCTGATGTCCTCATTAACTAATACAATACCTTACAGGTGACACTTAGGACATATTTATTGAATGAACTCATAATAAGACAAGTTCTTCAAAGTATAACCTCTAGCACCCAGTAAGAATTCACCCTGATACTGGATTTAAAGAACGTTACTCTATCACAACTTTGGAAGACTCGTCGTTCTAAGGAAATACGAGTGGGGAGTCTAGGCCTTACCTCTACGTCTTCATTGCCGCTGCGTGCCTGCCCCAGCAGCTGTTCATCTCATGTCAGCATCCTCTTATTTGGCCCCGTAGATGATTAAGGAGTTTGTAGAATCTTTTCTGGAAGAAGTGGTTGAGGCTGGGGAGATGACATCGTAACAGGCGCCCGCATTAGAAGGAAGTCTAGTCAAGTGCCCTGGAAAGAAGGCATGACCAAGACAAGAGTGAGCGTCAAGAAGGCTAGCCTGTTCCTTCAGGCAGCACAGAAACAGAATAACCCCAGAAAAGCCCAAAGAATGGGGGCTTCCTCACAATTTCCACCCTTGGGTAATCCCAGAGGATGTGCTTCTCCTTATCACTGGAATCATGGTTTCTTCTCTGTATTTCTCCAGTGGTAAGAGCTCCATAAGATACGTAAGCATACAATTTTAATAAAAATTAAATACATTTTAATAAAAATTAAAATGTAAGGAATAGTAGACAGTCTGTACTAATTAAATTATCTCCAAGCACTTGATGCCATTTCATTGAAGTTGGCCTGTGTTTTTGGTAGACCTGACTTTTCCATCACTCCTGCCTTTCTTATAGCCACCCTGCTCTGAGAATATTTCACCAAGGGTTCTGGGGATCACTGAAAAAATGAGACTGCCTTCCTCTCAGTCTCTTTCTTTTCAGCTGAAATGATTACTGATTCTCCTGGCTTACTAACAACTACTTGCAATTTTACATGCAGAATGTCTTGGAATATTCTACCCATACCAAATCCCTTCTGCTGTTGCTCCTCTGAAATTCTCTTATTTTTTATGTGAATGCCCCAAATTTCCTAACAACTCAAGGCTTAACTTGCCTTACCTGACAAATGTTAACATATTTAGTGGAGGACTTTTAGCCCACTCACATTATTTTAACCACCGGTACATTTAGTCATATTCCTGGCTTTCTATTCTAAATTCTCTTTTTCATGATTTCCTATTTGCTGCTGTTTCTCCCTCATTCCTGACTTGCACTGGAGGACTAGGTTTTCCTTTTCTTTCCCTCTACAGCAGGGACACTTTCTCTGTTATGGGCCAGATAAAAAATATTTTAAGAGTCTGTAGGTCAATCAGTCTTTGTCACAACTCCTCACTTCTGATGTTACAGTGTGGAAGCAGCGAGAGACAACACATAAATGAATGAACATGGCTGTGTTTCAATAAAACTTTGTTTACAGAACAAGCAGCAACGCAGATTTTGGCCTGTGGCCATAATTTGCCAACCCTTGTTGTAGAGGATTAGAAGTTTTATATCCTTCCTTTTTTACATTTTTTTATTGACTGATGTTTTAGAGAGAGAGAGAAACACTGATTTGTTGTTCCACTTACTCATGCATTCAGTGGTTGATTCTCATATGTGTAGGGGATCTAACCTACAGCCTTGGCAATGCTCCAACCCACTGAGCTACCCGGCCAGGTGTTTAACAAACATACCTTTCGTTAACAGAATATGCATTCAACTTCTAGGAAAGGTAGTTTGAACAACACGACTTAAACAAAATAATTTATTTTTTTGATTATGTATGAGAGGTCAGCGGCTGCTTTGACAACACCACGGTATCAGAACCCAGATTTCTATTTACTTGGCCCTCATCACGAAGGTGTCACCTGTACCTACCTCCTCATTCACATTACAGCCCCCTGGAGAGGGGGAAGGGGCACTGAAGGGCATGGACACAGACTGGAAGATGCACATGTCACTTTCCTCGTGTCCCTTTTATCAGAAGCTCGTGAGAGGTCACACTTGGCTTATAAGGGAGCCTCAGATATGTAGACAAACTGGGAAGCTATGTATCTAACTACGAATATTATGACTACGAAGATGGGGAGGATAGCTACTGGGAAGCATCTACAGTCTCTGAGACAGCTAAAACTTTGATCTCCTGATTTGCTTCAAAGATTAATTAGAAGCTGTAACCCCTCATCCAATCAAAACAAAATCTTTAATATACATTTATTTAGCACATTTAAAATCCAGTTATGTTCTTACTGCTGCCATCTCCCTAGATTCATGCTCTTCTAACTCCAATAGGAGTTTCTGGTGCCCCACACCCCTTATTTAATAGGTGTGACTGCTTTACCAATGATCACTTTCTAAGGCCTGACCTCCAAACTTTCAGGACGATTACTCTATACCTTCCTCTCCTTTTTTCATGGAGAAAGAACAAGCAGCCCACGGGGAAAGCTGAATATTTTGCTTAGAAAGACCTGGGTTTTAATTACTGTAATTTACACAAGAGTTTTTTGTTTAGTAATGGACAACATGAAATGAGGTGTCTGTTCATGTGACATCACACTAAGTGAAAGAACAGCCCTCCACAGACAACATGTCAGTGAGTTAATTTCCTGCTGTTTTAACTGTTCTGAGAACCTCAATCATCATCCCCCCTTTATGAATAATTTTCCACTTGTCTCTATGGGTGTCTGACTGTTGTTTACATTCACATTGGGAAAAAAAGCCAAAATTACTTGGCTTGTAATCAAAAACTGCCTCTATTTTTGCTTCACAGTGCTCTCATTCAATGCATTTTAATAAGTTTTTAACAATGCGTGAACTTGAGTCAGAGGAACTGGAGGAGAAGCTAGGGTGACACACACTTATTATAGGATACAAAGGGACGAGACGTCACCCATTGTTTGCCATGCCAACAACCCTTAAATTAATGGCCTTTCTCCTTCGGAACTGAACTGTTCTCGTTTCGGCACCTGGGCACAAGCAGCTTGGCATAATTTGGTATTTTCCTTTAAGCAGTTTTAAACCTGAAGTTGTGCTGGAGTTAATCTCCAAGTTTCATCTCACACAGATTTTATCAGCTTTCATTAGGGTTCTGGTTTTGGAAGGCTTCTGGCTTTGGAAGGCTTCTTCCCTACATGGCCATTAGATGTTTGTAGTTCATTTTGTGGACGTAGATCTTGACCCAAGCAAAGGCAGACAGGAAATGCAATACCATTTTCTTTAGAGGCTGAAATAATCCTTTTTCTGCTTGCTATCCTCTTGCTCTTTGGGCCACAGTATTGAACCAAAAATGAAACAAACTAAAATTTAAAAGCGTTGAAGTATATTAATTTTTTCATAAGTGAAAAAGCAATTTGGACTCTCTTATTCAAGTCTTGTTGAGCAGCCCCTATATCAGGGAAAAATCAATGTATTTAAGTTCCCTGCCATTTCTTTCTGTTGCTGGAGGGAGTCTGAATTTTAAGTTGCTGAAACTGAAAAACTGCCATCTGGGAGTCCATAGCTAATTTCTGGATGTTAAAATAGAAGTTGGAATCTATTCTGTGGACAAGCTCATGTTAGGTTTTGCACTGCAGATATATGTAAAGCAAATAACTCCACATTAATTTTGGGAAACCCTTGAACCACTGAAACAACACAAATATAGATGCCTCAGACTGAGATGTTTTCATTCAGTTGAGAAACAGGAATTAGATATGTCTTTAGCCATATTGTGTCCTTGCAGAAAAATGTCTTTTTTCTAAATATGGATTTGAACTGTACTGAATGTGTCCCCAAAGGGTAGTTATTAAGGACTGAGTAACCTAGACTTTGGTTAATAGTCACCCATTAATTACTGGGATTGCCTTGCAGGAGAAGGGGTGGGTTATCAAACCACATTGTGTTTTCCACCTGTCAGTCAGACTAGAATGGAAAAAAAGAGAGGTAGGCTTTGGATTGAGGGAAGGAGAACTCTCTCTCTCTCTCTTGCTTTCTCTCACTGAATGGCTGAGAGAGGTGGGAAACTAGGCTCTTGGGAGACATAATATGGGGTGGGCTATTTGTGGGCATGAGCAAGTGCTGCATATAGTGAAAGATCAGGAGAAATGACCTGTATGGAACCTCTGTGAGGGGGCATAGCCCATGGTCTCTACTTAACTTTTTTAGCCCAGGATTTCCTAGACTTATTCAAATAAGGAACCCCTGTGTCATATAATGCATTTTAATATGCCATAGAATACTTTTGTGAAGAATAAACTAGAAGAAATGATATTAGCCAGACTTCCTCCTGGCATGTACTGGATGGTTTGTTGGAACACAAATTGCTGGCCCCATCCTCAAAGTTTAGGCTTCAGTAGGTTTGGGGTGGCCCTGTAAGATTTGCATTTATAATAAGTTCCGGGATGTATGCTGGTCCAGGAACTGCATTTATAGAATGAATCACAGACTAAAATAGTCTGGGGGTTTTTTCTTTCTCTTTCTGGAGTAACACGAATCAAATCAAGTAGTCACCGAAATCAAAGCCAAATACAAGAAGACCACAGCTAAAATCGTATTCGGTGGTGAAAACCTGAAAACTAAGCTCAGGAACAAGGCAAGGATGTCTGTTCTTGACATTTCTATTCAACATAGCACTGAAATCCAGCCAGAGCAATCAGGCAAGAAAAAGAAAAGACATCCAAATCAGAAAGGAAGCAGTAAAACTGTCTCTGTTTGCAGATGACATGATCTTATATATACCAGGTGTCCCCTCCAAAACGTATACAAACTTTAACAGCTGATTTTATAACTAGTTTTAACACTGCTTTTATAATTCAAAGTGTATGTATACATTTTTGGGGGGACACCCTATAAATAACCCTAAAGACTCCACAGGAAAACATAACTAACAAACTAATTCAGTAAACTTGCAGAATATAAAATCAATATACAAAATATAGTTGTGTTTCTATACACTAACAACAAAAACATTGAAAATTAAGAAAGAATCTCATTTATAATAGTACCAAAAAGAATAAAACATTTATAAATAAATTTAACCAAGGAGGTGAAAGACTTGTATACTGAAACGACAGAACACTGATGAAAGACCCAAATGCTGAGACATCCTGTGTTCATGAATTGGAAGATTTAATGTTGTTTAAATGTCCAGGCTATTCAAAGCAATTTACAGATTCATTGCAATCCCTATCAAAATCCCATTGGCATTTTTTTACAGAAATAGAAAAAATATTTATAAACCACATATCTGACAAAGGGTTAATCTCCAAAATATATAAGGAACTCCTATAACTCAATAGTAAAACAAAACAAAACAAAAACAACACCCCGCCTCCCTCCCCCAAAAAGCCCCAAAACAACAAAAAATACCCCAATTTTAAAAAATGGGCTAAGACCTGGAATAGACATTTCTCCAAAGACGACATATAAATGGCCAACAGGTACATGAAAAAGTGCTTAATATCATTAATCATCAGGAAAACGCAAATGAAAACCACAGTGAAATATCACCTCACATCTGTCAGGATGGTTATTATCAAAACAACAAAAGACAGCAAGTATTGGCAAGAATGTGGAGAAATCTGAATCTTTGTACAGTGTTGGTGGAAATAAAGAATAGTGCAGCCACTATGGAAAACCATATGGCAATTACTCAAAATAATTAAAAATAAAATTACCATATAATCTCGCAATCCTACTTCTGGGAATTTATCCAAAAGAATTGACCTCAGGATCTTGAAGAGATACTAGCACTTCCATGTTCATTGCAGCCAAGATATGGAAATAACCTAAACGTCCATCAACAGATGAAAGGATAAAGAGAATGCGATACACACACACACACACAATGGAATGTTCGAAACCTTAAAAAAGAAGAAAATTCTGCAATATGTGACAACATGGAGGAAACTTGAGGACACTATGCTAAGTGACATAAGCCAATCACAAACCACAAATACTGCATGATTCTACTTACGTTAAGAATTTAAAATAGGAAAAAAAAAGAATTTAAAATAGTCAAGTTCACAAAATTAGAGAGAAGAATGGTGGTTGCCAGGGACTGGGGAGCAGGAGAAATGGGGAGTTGCTAATCTACAGGCACAAAGTTTCAGTTAAGCAAGGTGAACAAGCTTTAGAGATCTGCTGAACAACATTGTATCTATAGTACACAATAGTGTGCTATACACTTAAAATTGTATTAAGAGGGTAGATCTTATGTTAAATGTTCTTACCACAATAGCATAAGACTAAGAGAACTATATAGTCATTGAATTCATACCATGAGTAGGACGTAGAGGGTTTGTTCTATACTGGAAACTCCAAGACACACTGATAAAGATCCCAGAGACAAAGATTTAAAATAGTCACCCCTCAGTTATTGCAAGGTAGTTTTAAAAATTAATAAGCACTTATGTTATCCATGCTTCATGGCTATTTTGACCACTTATCAACTTAACAGTGGTTTTTGTGTGTGTGTGCTTTAATGCTCACCCGAGGATATTTTTTCCATTGCTTTTCAGAGAGAGTGGAAGGGAGAGATAGAAACATTGATGTGAGAGAGACACATCCATTAGTTGCCTCCCCTACTTGCCCCGACCAGGCCGGGGATCAAGCCTGCAACCAAGGTACGCGCCCTTGGCCAGAATCGAACCTGGGACCCTTCAGTCCTCGGGCCAATGCTCTAACCCCTGAGCAAACCGGCTAGGGCTTAATAGTGTTTTTGTTTCAAGTATTAAATAATTGAAAGGAATTTTACTCTTTAATATTAGCTATAGCAAATTCTCTGCAATCTTGTCAGCGTAGCCATTTGGGCATGCTGGTTTATGTTATCACAGCAGTTCGACATGCAGTCAATTAAATCTGAAGAAACCCAGTTAGTCATTAGGCAATTTGGAATGTAGAGCAATAAACAACTGGTTTTGTTGATTGCTTTGGCTGAATTGATTAAATGCCTCAGAGAAACAGAGGAAACACTTCAGTATGACAGCTTTACATTTCTGCTTTTCAGTAATTATAGTCTCTGTTGAGCCAATACTTCAAAGGAAACACTGAAAATTTCTGAATGGGTGTCTCATTTACAACATATTATTATCTTCATTATATTTACCTGAAACAGAGAATTAGCAAAATCAAAAACAAAGTAGGGCAGAATAGATGAGCTGCCTGTCCCCAGCCAGAGTTCATCTAGGGAAGTTAAAAATTTCTGTCTCTGTGAGGCAATTAGAAAGTGGTATGCTTTATCAGCCCACGAATTCAAATGTGCTTCACTCCACGTTGCTTTAGGCATTGCCTCTTGGCCCATCTGCCTGTTTGATGAACTTCAAGAAAAAGTCAAGGTCACTCATTCTGTGTTTCAAAGACTTAGGGAACCATTCATCTATCCATCTTCTTATAATGTGCATCTTCGTGACCATGGCAGCCCTGAACTTGTGCTGTTCAGACAGCCACTGTGATGAGCATAACCGACTAAGGTCCTGGTCGCTGCCCCTCTGACACCATATTTATAACAAAGTCACAACTTCCACAGGTTGCTCCCAGTCAGTGACTGAGCATGATGCAGGTACAAGTGTGGTCCTATTCCTGTGCAGCAGGAAACTCCTTCAACGGGTAACTTGGCTCCACTCCCCATTGCCTTGGCTGAACCTCTCTTGGGACTGCACTGCAGTCTGAGACTATTACTACCAACCTCCCTTCCTTCTCCACTTCCAAGGGGTCCGAGGGCCCTTGTTCCCTCCAAGAGCTCTTTCTGCCTACGCCTGTTCTCTCCCCCTTTACTTTTCACAGCTGCTACCCTCTCTCGCACATCTAACCCCACCTTGGCATCTGCTTCTTGGAGGACCTAAACTCATTAGGACCATTATTTTTATACTGCCTCACAAAGCAAAATCAAGGTAACCTGTGGTTTACAAATAAATTTTAAATAATGGGAAAAATAATGCTGGGTCTAGAATAAAAACAAAAACAGAAAAACTGAGTTTTCTTCTCAGGGTCACAAATTAGCTATAAAACCAGATATTTTCTGATGTTACCTCCTTGGTATTTTGCATGACAAAAGTATCCACAGCAGCACATCGCAATGATAAAAAGTCTGGATTCTCCCGATGTGCACCCTCTATTAGTCAAAGACTAATGCTGAAACATCGAAAACTATCTTTTATGTAAAATTTATAGCTTTTGATTAACTAATACATTTTAGATCATCTTACTTGTTTCTGTTTAGAAGTTTTTCCTATTGGAAAATCACTATGAAAAGTATAAAACTTTTTTTTTTTTTAATTAAAACCACCACCTAATTCCAGCACCCAAAGATACTATAACCAGTTAGCATTTTAGTATGCTTTTGTCTGTATTTTTTCTCCGTTTATATTTATGTCTACATAGGTGAAATAATATACACATAGATTTAGTATCCTGCTTTTCCCCACAGTATGAAATTTTTAAGAATACTTTGAATGACTACATAACATTTCATTGTGCATTATTTTATCATTCCATTGTTCTTTATCTACTTAACTATTCTCTTTATTCTTGGAATTTAGATAATTTCTAATTTGCTGGCTATTAAAAACAGCCTCTGATGAATATCCTTGTTCATAAAACTTTAGTCTGCATTTTGGGATTTTTTTTCTCCTTCATATAGATCCTCAAAAGTCCTTCCTGACCTCCTGATAAGCCTGAAGCTTGAGGAGAATCAGCAGGCTTACTCCCCACATCCACATAGTATGTTAGAAGGATACGGGCCTAGGCGTCAGAAGACTCACTGACCCACTAACTAGTTGGGTGTCCTACACAAACAAGTCTCTTTACCTCAGAGTCCATGAGTATAAAATCAGGGAGCTGAATTAGATTATCTTTATCATTCCACTCATGTTTAATATTCCTTAAACGTTTATTTAGTGGACCTAGTTCCTATCCAGTGACATAATTTTTCTTACACCTTTAGGGCTGTATAGACACAAAGGAATACCACTAGTAATAGATCCTAAGATATTACTATCTTTACAGCACAGAGAACACTCAACATTACATAGGAATGTGGTTGGGCCTGTGATTCTTCTCTCTCTAACTCATATAACTTATTGTCTGTATGTTTTTAAATTACTTTTGGCTTCTAAGCATTAAGGAGTATATCATAGCTGTGTGAATCTGCTCCCTGAGCCTCCTAATATTAACCCAAGGCAAAATACTGTTCACTTGTTAGGTATTAAAAAATATCACACTTTAAAATTTTTATTTGTTTTTCCTGAATTTACATCTGGCTCAATCTTCATACAAAGACTGTTTTAAGTGTTTCTCTATGCATGACCTTGTGCTAGGAACTGGATAACAAAGACGTTATTTTTGATGTTGTGGAATTTCTAAATGAAAAACCACAACACTGAGGACAAAGGAACATCTAAGCAACCTATCCCAATCTCAGGGCCTGCCAGAGGCTGAGGGTCTCTAGATGGAGGTCAGGGAAGGAGGGCTCTGAGGAATTCTGGGTTTGGAGAGGCTGGATCCAGGACTATATTGTGCTCCTCCAAGAGAAGATATGTGAAGGAAATGGGATTCCGGAAATTTCTCAAAGGAAGTGGAAAGGCTTAGGACCTGCCAGGGAGAGAATATTTCCAGATCTGGATCTAAATCCTGATAGAGGTGGAAGAAGAACCATTTAATTTCTACAGATTAAATACCAGTCAGAAACAGAATAAACAGGAATAACTTACGGCAAGTCTTAGCAAACGGCATGCCCACGAGTAATGGGAGTTGGTGTGGAGACCAGCTGCTCACCCAGGTTACTCAGTTGGTAGGAGCCCATGATGTGGCGGAACTGAAATCTGCAGAGAATGGAGCAAGTGGCCAGGTATGCTGAGGAGGTAGCAGCCTCTGAAAACTCTGTTCAAGAGTGATTGGAATTCCTGCCAGGAGGAGTTCTTGAAGGAGAAAAAGTGGACATGAGGTCAGCCACCTAGAAGAACCTGTCCTACTTTGAGGCATAGGCTCAGAAACATGATTAGGTTTGAGTCTCGAGTGGGAATAGCTCTAGAGGACCATGCCCGAGATTCTAGTGACTCTGCTTATGGATGAGCCGCACCCTTTGAGTACCTTACACCTACCTCAGCCCTTCACCTGATGGGTCTGCTCCCACCCCCGATTCCATCCCCACCACTTCTCTCCTCAAGCTTTGGAGCTCTTCCTCCTCCTGGCATCCAGTGCTAGCACCTCATGACTCCTCCACTACCTCCTCATGCAGCTGTCCCTCCCCCTGGGCCATTTCACCTGCCCTCCATCTCAATCCAGCCTACTTTTCCCCACCAAATGCTATAGGGGGCATCGGCCAGATATTTATAGGAAGGCTTTTGAACTCTTTAAACACCATGGCAGCCAAGATTTGGGCATTCCACCCGCTGTGGTAGTGAAACTGAATTTGAAGAGATCATGAAGCGAGACAGCAATTTCCAGCAATTCCATTTCCAAAGCCATATATATCTGAAGCCAGTGCAACAGACGACAGTGACTCGATTGAGATGCTGCCCACAGCCATTCCTGTTATCAAACAGTCTTAGACTGTCCATGATGAGCGTTGTTGTGTCCTCCTCACCTTTATTAAAAGTTGTCTTCATGGCATTGAAGCTGCCAGGAGGAGCTCTTCCAAAAAAAGACATCTGTCCCAAGAGGGGTCACCTAGCTGGTCCTCTAGCCAGGAGAGCAACAGGATGCACTGGGACCTGTTTCAGAATGAAGATCGGCCTGACGATTATTTCCAACAAAGGAACCAAGAGCATGACAGATACCAGAAGAGAGAAGGGGACCCATACTACTGAGAAAGGAGTCTGGTTGGAAGCAAATGTTTTTTAATGGGCCTGCATTACCTCACCTCCATCCAGACTAAAGGACAGAGGCCTTCTCTCCCCTTCACCTTCCTACAAACCTGTAAACCCCTTTAGACACCCAGGGAATATAATCTGCCCCACAGGATTGAAGACTTTCTGACATCTCTCCCAATCTCACAATCCTATTTGCCAGTGGAAAGAACCTATCAGACAGAATGCAAGGAAAAGAAAGGGATGATTAGGTTAAAAGTGAAAATACATCTTTTTTTAATGAACAAGACGAATACATAATGACTGGGGACATTTTATCACAATTAGGAGATAAAGCTATTTGAAAAGCAGCAATTACTATAAAAGTAATTGGGGAAGAAAGTGTTCATCATGAGAAGGGCTTCTTAAATGGAAGGCAAAGCTTTATTTTCTGACCTGGACAGTAGTTACATTTATAAAAATCCATGCTGTACATTGTTTTGTGTATTTGTTCTGTATATTGTTATTGTACATTCCAATAAAAATTGTTCTAAAAGAGAGAATGATACCTAAAAGACATGGTAACTAAATATAATGTGTGGACCTTGTTTGGATACTGATTTGAACAAACCAATTACAAAATATTTGTGAAATAATCAAAAAAAGTAGAACATTGATTAGGCTTTTCATGATATTTAGGAATTATTTAATTTTAAATATGACAATGCTATTGTGTGTTTTAGAAAAAGAGTCCTTATTATTTAAAGATACACACTGAAATAATTTTAGATACTGTTTGAGGTTACTTTAAAATAATCCATGTAGGGTAGAAATAGCAGCTACGGGTATAGATGAAACAAACTGGTGAAATTATTAATTATTGATAATTGGTGAGACTGCAGAGTACATGGGGGTTTATTACATATATTATTCCTTCTACTTTTGTGCACATTTGAACATTTCCATAGTAAAAAAAATTCTTTTATTAAGATGATTGAGATGAGTGGTCCATAAGCAAAAGAAAAATGGGCCCAGAAGTTCTGCACATGGATAGCTCAAGCAACTTCCTTTCTCTTCAATTAACTGTCTGAAGTTTCTGCCTACGTGGGACAATTGTTTAAACAAAAACTTTAGGGCCAAGTGTCCAGATAAAATGTCCCTCAATACCAAGTATCCCAAGGCTTCCTTCAGATCATACTGGGAAAATAAAACATATTTTAGCTTCTCTCAGGACCATTGGAGACCAGAAGCACAGGCTAAATTTCAGGGAGCACACTGTCCAGGAGCTGGCTCCCAGGTTGGTGCACCTTATAGGACAGAACCTCCCATTCCATTCCGCAGTTTTAGATCCAGACCTAAAAGCTGTCTCTGAAATGTCTCCCACACTTGTTGAACAGCTGCTCAATCTCAAGTTAGCGTCCAAGTAAAACATAATAATATGGGTTGTTTTTTAAGGCCTTGCTGCCTCAATTTTGTCATGCTGGCATCAGCACCATATGCCGACTGGTGTGGCAAGTTGAGAAGAAAATGTTTCTATGACTGTGCTGATTTTAAAAATAACATATCTAATGAGCCAGCTGTGATTAGACAAAAAACATTAATAATAACTTCTGCAGTCTATTTTATCCAGAACAGTTCTCAAACATTACTCTGTCCTTTCAAAACTGTAATGCAGATATCATACAGATGGAAAAATAAGGGGAAAAAAGATTGACCTGAGCATTAAACTATGCAATGGATATATAGTGACCAGAGCTGAGAATGCAAATCTGCTTATATGCCAAGCAGCTGTTAGGTCAGCAAGACTGAGCTATGAAAGAATGAATATATTATGATACCTAAAGAATGTATTTATCAAACATATGTGGAAGGGGGTGATGATGCCCATCACAGAAATACAGGAAAATGAGCATCACTAAGGCAAGTGTTGGCTATGCATGTCTAAACATTATTCAGGGGACAGGGAAGCTTAACCAATAGCTCTGGGTATTCAAGTCTCAGAGCAAGACCACCTCTCCTTGAGCAGATGCATTATCAGGCTATGGAAATTCAAGAAGAGGTCACAGAATGGAATGCTGGACATCTAACATGGCTCACAGATTGATTTGTCTGCTCCTATATGTTTTCAGTTTAACATTCAAATTAACTGGAAACATTTTCTTAAAAGATTTTATGTAAGAGTCTCCATTTACTAATTTTCTTGAAAAAGCCCACATTCTCACATGGCAGCAATCAGCTAGACTGTATAAGAGCTGTCCCTTACAAACAGCTTTCCAGCTGTCCACAACACCCACCAGGCACCTTCACTCAGCTCTCTCAGTTGCCTGGTCCCAGGAGGCATCTGTGTTGGCCACCCCCAGATTAATACCTTCAGCTAATCAGTGGTCTCACTTCCTGTGTTCTGAGTCCATGCTCATAATACACTCTTCTGGTGCCAACTTTGACTTCTGTTGCTAGTCTTCTACAGAGAGGAAGTGAGAACTCCTACCTATGTGACAGTTTTATATTTCAATATATATTACAATAAGAAACTGGTATTTTGATTTTACACATCAGTCTCCAGTAAGTCAGCCCTGGAGAGATGGACCCACTCTTGAGTCCAACCAAATCGAGGGCCTGTCTTCAAAGCAAGGGTCAAACCCCTGTTGCTGCCAAGCTCACAGTGGCATGCTCCCTGGTACAGTGACTTAGGACTGAACTATCAAGGTCACCATATGGAATCCTCCACATAGAGAACATTTTCCAATTTTCATTTTATGTTTGGAAGGTACTTCATGTTCTAATTGTATTTTATAAATCACATTTTTTTTACATAATACTTTTGTAGTTTTATGTATGTGTGTGTGATACCCAAAAATAGGAGATTAGGTTAGTGGAAGAGCATACAAAATGAAAGTTTTGGTTCAAAAAGAAAATTATCTTGGCCTTCCTAGCACTTCCTGCCGAGTGCTGAGTGTATGCTTTCAGGTGCTTTATTCTTCCTATTAGTATCAGATTTCATGGCTCTTTATTAATTGAGAAAGAATTATTGCTTTTTCTAACTCTCAAACCTTCTCTTCTCTACTTTGTTAATGTCATTGCCTCCACAGTCACCCACTAGCCTCCTATATTTTATAATTTAGAAAATGTCCACCTACATATTGCACCTCAATTGTGTCATCTGCCAAAAAATAAGATGATGGGGAAAGAAAATCTTAAAAACACTTCCTACACATTCACACATTGCAGAGGCTTTTCATCACAGGCATGGGAGTCCCACTGCGTCTGGGAGAACTTTGGAATGATTTGTACAGGAAACAACTTGGGGAAAGATGAACTCTCAAAGATTCTCCTTAACATGAGTGTTGTCATGTTCACTCACATAGAAACTCTAAAATATTTAAGATCCTCCAACTCTCTCTCCATTTCAGCCATAAACAGAGGCATCTCATTCATTCACTCATTCATTTAGAAAATGGTTTTGCAGGTGATCAAAGGTACACCTGAAGACAATAGAAAGCAGTTTTCCTCAACTTATTTTTAATGATCATAATAATGATGGTGACAATAAAATAGACAAGAACATTTTTGCCTTTGCAACCACATATCTGATTTCAATCGTTTTGTTTTCTGCACTACAAGATAGAACTGTTACGCAGCACCAAAGAATTTCCAGAAAGTGCTGTGTAGATCTATACTTAGGATTTGGTTTTTTTAAAAAACACACACACACACTAGACTGTCAGAAACCCATTTTCTGTCTCTGTTTCCACCTATATCTTTCCTATTCAACATCACTTATAGTTGAGCATCTTAAAGTGAAAAATGAGTATGTGGCATATTGAGAAATGATAAATAAGCAGGTGTCTTAACATGATGTTTTTGAAATCACATATGCATTTGATTAATAAATCAGGTACACATAAATGGATCTTAACTGAGTCTCTTCTCAGACCTTTCATTTTTACAAAATGGAATACTTTCAAAAGCTGATGTTTCAATAACTAAAAGACATCTTCAGTGACAGAGAGAAGTGTTTGGGTCAACTTTAAGTTTATTTT